AAAACTTTTAATTACTCGCAACCAATACTGTGCTGTTCATGCCCATTATCGACTCGTTGTGGAATAAAGTCGATACATGGCCAACCCTTGCTCATGGCCCACCCTAATTTCACTCTCCAATAAAGATCAGCAAAAATATTCATACAAAATCACTCACCCGATCATCATTGCAAAATGCAAATAAAAATACTAATAAAAAATCAAAACGACGACAAAACGAGGGCAACGACGGCCATGAAAAAAACAAAAACAAAAAATGCGGGAGCCCAGAATCGAACTCATTGGACCCTTGCAAGGTCACGAGACTGGCACAGCTCACCCGCGCATTTAATTTTAACTTTTGCCAGTGGCTCAGTAGTGGGCTTAGTAAAACGGCCCATTTCGGGTGGTTTGACCGCCGTTCGAGAGCCATGGACAAGATGTTGGCATGGACGATCCTCAAATTCTTTTTCCGTGTGGACAATGGAGACAAAAAAATGGGGGATTTGCATTGTTCTTGGCGAGTATAGACGAGGTTTTTTTTGCTTGTTTTCATACGGTCTTTGCCGATGGCTGTCGATGGCTGCCCATGGCGTGCAAATGGTATGCAAATGGCATTCCGATAGCTAGTTAGTAGTTGTACGGTCATTATCGTGTCATTCGCCATTCACTAAAAGTGTCCGGAAAGGGTGGACACGCTCTGTCACATGTCCGTGTAGCCAAACAATTGGAAATTCGGAGGTTTTAGAGAGACACCGTGTCAAGTCTGCAACACACAAAACCCCTGCAGTCCATGGTAGACCCCTCCTTCTTTGCATTCGAATGCACCACATCAGTATCCATCCCACACACCCTCCAGGCATCTGATTGGCTTCCACCCTTTGCCACGGGTGCCAACACCCCTTGGTACGTCGCCAACACGATCGCCACACTCGAATGCAAAAGGGTCCATCAAGATGGAACACAACGGGTAAAAATACAATCGGTTGGGGACATAAGCATGTGAATAGGGCAAGCATGGTGACAGCGTCACACCATCCCCCAAGTCCCTGACCGAGGTTGTATCTAAAATAAAAATTGCAATAGTAAAAATAAAAAAAGCAACATAAATTTCACAATCCACATTCCAATTGAATCCATGCCCTCCATATCTGTATATGTGAAAGTGGTTCAAATGCAATTTGCATCCCAAAAGCAAAAAGCTTGTAATTTTATCCGCGTGTTTGGCTTCCCGTCGCTTGACGAGGGCGAAACAGTTTAAATAGGAATTTCACACTTTTTTCCCCACACGCGCCTTCCGTACGAAACGATCACGACGACCACGACGACGACGAGGACGAGGACAACAAGAGTAAAAGGTAGGTTTTGTTGGCAATGGTTGGTGCGGCTGGTCGTGTGCAATCACGGTGGCCACGCTCCGGTGAGGGGGGAATAAAGGGACCGTCCAGGGGAGTTCCGCTCCTTTTGTACATTGTGTATGACGTACGAGAGTGATATGTGATGCAAATGTCGCTCGTGTGATATTCGCAAAAAAAGGGCCTAAAGTGTTTGGGTTATCGGTACTGTAATCTGTTGGGCAACTACAAAAAGCCGGGATGGAGGAATTGGAAGGGATAAAAAAGGGCAACTCGTAGCGTTTTGCACAAGAATCGGGCATGCTCGGTGTGTATATTGCTCTCGCAGTTTCTCGCATTGCCTGTCTCGAGCCCGCACACTCTTTCCGTGTCTCTCTCTGTGCTTGTTCCTCAACTGCGCAACACGACCGGATAAACTGCGGTAACCAGGTATATGCTATACCTGATACCTAGATATGCAAAACGATAAAGAGATATTGGACAGTTGGGGGGAGCAGGGGTGGAGTAGGAGCTGTTTTTGTGATACGCCCGCATTTTGGCGTAGGGACGCCACGCCCTTTGAGGGCCTCGTCAGGAAATGGAGCGCAATAGCTATGCAACTTGGAAGGGAGACAAGAAATAGCTCCTACTATTCTTTCTCTCTCGCTATTTTGGGGGATTTGTTATTGGATGATGAGATTAGGCTATGGACCCGTTTCATGATTATAAGAATGGTGTCGGCTGTCAAAAATCCCTACGCGTCGCATCAGTTCCGGCTCACCTTTCTTTACATGTTTTACCTATAGAATCTACGCAATACGAAACTATCGGAAGCATTGCAATACTCTTAATTACACACATACACGCACACACAACTGCAAACGACTACGAGCAATTGGAGCTGCGCTTCACCTTTTGTCTCTTCCCCGCACCTTTTGGCCCAATCCTTTTTCCTCCACCCCTTTGGGACACCCTGTGCATAGCGTGACTTGTCAAAGACGCGCTTTTATATAAAGACCGAAATCCCTCCTCCCCCCGCCCCCCTTTTCAGCGTATTTAGCTTCAGCTTACGCTTAACAATCGTAACCCGTTCGCCATGCCAGCGATCGACGTTTCCATGCCTATAGCAATGGCGTGCTCACCAGCAACACCCGGCGGTGACACAGCTGCGTACAGAAGACGTTTCTCCATTATTGGGAGCTTGGGAAAATCTCTCGGCACCAGTCTTGGCCGCTCTTTTACAGGGAGCTTTGGTCGCAACAGTTATACAAGAGAAGGATTTTTAGAGTATGTATGCGTGTAGTGTGCTTGCTTTGTGCATCGTTTCCCGAAAGCTCACCCGGTTCCCAGTGTTTACAACTTTCAATTTGGCGCACGGTCTCCCGTGGTTGCTGCATCGCCAGCACACGAGCTGGCGCACTTTGCCGGACTTGAAGACCGGTTCTGCAAAGACTTTTTCTGCTGTGGCATGAACCTAGGAAACCTGCATGATCTGCTACAACATTTTGAAGAGTGCCATGTCCGCGTCGAATCCGATGTCGACGAGGACGAGGATCTCCCTTTTGAGTTTGAGAGTATGGACGAGATGGACACGGACATGAGCGACGGCGACAGCGTTTCCTCACATCCCACCACCTTTTCCGACATTTACCTCAAATCCCAGCTCTTGCAATCCCAAACCAACCCAACACAAGCAGTCGCCTTGTCTGACATCTTTTCCGAAGATTACCGAATTAGCAATCGATCCGGTTCGACTGCATCTGCCTTTGACACATCAGTGATACGTAAACGCGTCACCTCTGGCCCCACCTCTACCCGGGTCAAAAAAGTCAAACCTGCACAGCAGCCAGAGCAACAACCCACGCTGCCGTTTAGCGTAGACGGACCGACTCAGATGGTTAGCGATATGGACATTGACGAGCCACCAGTTGCGCCGTCGCCATCGGTCGTGCAAACACCTTCCCCAGCTCCGACACCAGCTCCTGCTGCCGCTCCTTCCCCATCTCCAGCGCCCGTCTCGATGCCACAATCCCTCTGTCCTCCCTCCCTTCCTGCTGCACTTAACCTCCAACCCCTCCATCTACCCACCGCCGCCTCGCTTGCTCTCCCCAACTTTGATACTCCCGTTATCGCCCCTGCAGCAGCTGGACAAACACCGATGTCTTACGATGCAATGGCCATGGTGACAGACGATTCCCAAAAGGACGATCGCCCATACAAGTGCAAGGTGATGGGCTGCACCAAGGCGTACAAGAATCCCGGTGGTCTCAAATACCACATGCAGCACGGACACTGTGAGGACACTGGGGACCCAGAAATGAACAATATCATTCACAAACCATACCAATGCACTGTTCCTGATTGTGGAAAACGGTACAAAAATCTTAATGGTCTCAAGGTAAAGATCTTTCATGCACGTTATTTTCATGCGCATTTGACTCATTGCCCCATTTTAGTATCACATTGAGCACGCGCATATTTCATTACTCGGAGCCTGCTAAGATCATACGACCCATTATACCATCTTTTAAAGGGATAACACTTTTTTTGGGCCTTTTGAAAACGAACGTGATTTCTTGTAGATGGCTTTGAAGGTTACCTGTTTCCTTTATTTACCTGCCATCCACGGTCCGTTCCGTATGAAAACAGGAATCTGGTAATGATGGACGCACGGAGGAAGCAGGGACCATGCATAGATTTGGGTTCCGTTTTTTTTTGCGGGTTGAGGTGGTTTATATCATATCTATATTTTGTTGGGACATTTTCTTTCTTCTTTTTTTTTGCAATATCTGTATATTTATACATATCATTTCTCGTCAAATTCCTGTTCCCTTTTTATTGGTTCGTGAATTGATAGGCCCGCTGTGATCACTGCAGCGGCCATTGTAGTTTTCTGAACAGCGTTTGTTGTCTGTGCGTTGAAAAGACGGGGCTTCTTGCATCCTTTTCGTTCTTGCGAGTTTCTTGTACGTTGTGCGTCTTCCGTTGGACGTGTGAGGGGCTACATGGGATATCCCCTAGTGCGTGCAATCAATGTGCAAATCGCATGTTGATAACGAATCTTACCTTATTTTCACGTGATGACGATCGCGTGACGCGCAGACTTATTATGGGGGCATCTCGACGGAACAAAAAAACAAGCATGCTGGTAACCACCGAGCAGACGCTCTCCCTCCCTCTTATCGACATATCCCCATTTCTCGCTCCAGACGATGCACCCGATGTGCAACTCGCCCGTCAAGCCACTGCCGAACTTGTCGACAAGGCCTGTCGAGAGGTGGGCTTCTTTTACCTTGTGGGCCATGGTCTCACCCAAGAGGAGATGACAGAGATTCGAACGGTAGCGCACGAATTCTTCAAGCAGACTCCAGAAGAAAAGGAGGAGATTCATATTACAAAAAACGATTTTGCGAGGGGATATCAACGGTTAGGTCAGAATATCACGCAGGAGGCTCAAGATTGGCATGAAGCGATTGACTTGTATGCGCCTGCTCCTAAATCCCTTTTGCAAAAGGGAATTAAAACGCTTTGTGGAAGTAATCCTATTCCACGGCACCCTGAACGATTCTCTACCGTCGTCAACAGTTATGTTCAGACCATGACCCGCCTTGGCGCTGCCATGATGCGAGCCATTGGACTTGGGTTGGGTGTCGGTGAAACCTTTTTCGAACCCTACATGCAAGAAGGTTTTTGGGTGATGCGCATGATTGGGTACCCTCCTCTCCCTTCCTCCTCAACTGGCCTCAGTTGCGGCGAACACACCGACTATGGTTGTCTCACCCTCCTCAATGCAGACTCTACACCCAACGCACTCCAAGTTCTTTCCAATGGAAAATGGATTTCACCTACCCCGCTCCCAAATGCCTTTATTATCAATATAGGCGATATGATCCAGGTATGGACAAACGGGATCTACAAATCAACCCTCCATCGCGTGATACATTCTTCAACGAATGTCTACCGGATCTCGGTACCGTTTTTTTATGAGCCGGCTTTTGATGCGCGTGTTCGGCCGATTGATAAATGTGTTCAAGAGAGTGGGGTCGAGAGGTTGCCTGATGTCGTGTATGGTGAGCATTTGTTGGGGAAAGTGACTGGCAATTTTGATGTTGGGGAACAAAGGATGTAAAATAACGTTTGTTTGCTGATGGTGTTGGTTGGGCTTGAGCAGCTGTGGTTCAACATGGCAACCAACATGTCAGTTATGGGACAAGATCTTGTTAATGTAATTCGATATTTTGAGTAACAAAAGCATTCTAACCTCTTGCATGAATAATCATTCGCAATACAAAAGAAAGGGAATTATAAACAAAGCGGAATGGCTTAAGTGCTGCGCCACCTGCGCGTTGTGGCACAGTAGATCGGGCATTCTGTTCTTTTCCCCTTTGCGTTAAAAGCTTGGCTTTTTGCCGAATAGCGCTTTCAACAAAACGAACGACGACGACGAACGACGAGCTTGTGCTTGACGATTCTTTGAACTGGTCACGATGAACCCAGAGAAACCTAATCCGTACCCATCCGGCCCGCCACCAGCTTACTCGGCGCAACCCTCTGCTGCACACACTGACGTTTACCCTGCGTATCCGGTTCAATCGTATCCGCCACCTTTTGTGAATAGTGGGTATCCGCCAACGACTGCCAGTGGTGCGTACCCGCCCGTGTCCTATGGCGGTGCACCATATGGTGGTGCCCCGTATCCAGTGACACCCTACCCAACGGCCGCGGAAGCCGCTACAGGGCAGAGTATGCCATCGAAAAAGGGTCAGAGCGGACAAGTATTTGGACCGTATTTGAGATATGTAAATATGGATGTGGGGAACCGGATGTGGTTTGGTATGTATATTTTTTTGTTGCGGATCATCAGTGAGAATGGGATCTTTACTATATTTTTTTGCAATAGGTTCCATCCTTGTTCTTACCAGCTCACCTTCCCCCGTCACGGCCACGGTCTATTCCAACCTCCCCGGTACCTCCCCCCTCTACGTTCCCTCCAACGTGATTGACACCCACCTCCAATACACTTTTCACCGTATCGACCTCACCCTCCCAATGGGGGACTATCCTGCCATGTGGACATATTCCATAGACGCATTGTCAGAGCAAACTTTTAATTTTCACGTAGCTTCTGTGCATGATCGCAACTGGCGGTTTGCGTTCTATTCTTGTAGTGGGTTTAGTAATAGCGTGTCCAAGGAAGAGAGGGAGCGATTGGGTGGTGTGGGTGCGCTTTGGAAGGATGTTTTGAGTCTTCATCGTGAAAATGGCAAAGAGTTTCATGTCATGTTGGGAGGTGGTGATCAGTGAGTATATATGTGAGCGGTAATGTTCTTGGTATTTATGAACGAGTTTGTTGATTATCGTTTTTTGTTTCGGTGTTTTGTAGGATATATGGAGATCCCATCTGGAAGGAGCTTGACGGCCTCAAAGCATGGCTTCAAATCAAGGGCAAAGAAAACCGTCGAAACGCTCCATGGACTCCAGAACTCGAATTCGCAGTCTCTTCCTTTTACTTTAACATGTACACTAGCCATTTTGCGACCCCGCACCTTAGAGAAGCCCTGGCCTCCATTCCCTCCATTTTTCAAATTGATGATCACGACATTTTCGACGGATATGGGTCGTACCCAGAGTACCTTCAGCACTCTCAGTACTTTCAAAACATTGGACGTATCGCTTGGAGATTTTATTTACTTTTCCAACAACACACTACCATGCGTCTTGCTGCGCTTGGTGGACCCCATGCACGAGAATTCATTTCCCCTAATGGTCAAACTTTCCATTTCGTCAAGCTCCTCGGACCCAGTGTTGCTCTCTTCGGTCCCGACACCCGCAGCGAACGAACCCCAATGCAAATCCTCTCACCCCAATCTTACAACCTTCTTTTCCAAACCCTCAGAACCCTTCCGCCCACCATCAAGCACGTCATTGCCATGCTCGCAGTTCCCATCGTCTACCCGCGTCTCAAAGCACCCGAAACTTTATTAACCCACTTTGGCAAAACAAAACGATCAGCTAATAATGCTGTAAATGAGATTGGAAAGGGCCTGGGAAGTGTGGCTGGAAGTGCTGGGCGATTATTGGGAAAAGTGGGTCTCAAAGTCGACGCGCAACAATGGGAGGCTGAGACAAAGGGCACGATTGATGATGTGCTTGGAAATGTTAAAAAGGGTTTGGGCAAGAGTGGGTTGATGAGTGGTGTGATTAGTCAGTTTGGGGAGGTGGATCTGCTTGGTATGTCGCTTAGAGTTCTTTATTCGTTTAAATTGCTACTGACGCTGGAGTTCTCATTCCCTACAGACGACCTGATCGATCATTGGACCCACCCCAACCACACCCCCGAACGTACGGCCCTCATAACCCGCCTCCAAGCCCACGCCTCCCAAACACGTACCCGCATCTCCTTCATATCCGGCGACGTCCACTGCGCCGGTGTTGGTCGCTTCTTTACTCCAACCAACCCAACAGATCCAACCCTCATGTACCAATTCATCGCCTCCGCCATCGTTAACATCCCTCCACCGAAAGGCGTCCTCAAAATGCTACATTCAAGCGCAAAACAATTGGACTTTGGCAATGGGGTCAAGGAGGAGATGCTGGATATGTTTCCCAAGGACGTGGATGGGAAAACGTTAAAGGATCAGAAATTGATTGGACGAAGGAATTGGGGGGTGGGATGTGTGGTTGGTGATGAGTTGCATGTGGTGATTAGAGTGGAAGGAACGCAGACGGGGGTGTGTGTTCCTTTTGGTCCTATTGTGGTCCCTCCCGTCGTTTGAACGGGATGAGTTCTCGTATGTTGGTTGGATGTCGTTTTAAACCTTAATTTTTTTTTTTTGGAGTATCCTGTCGTAGTACGATCCACTTGAACTGATTCTATTCGTTTGAAATGCGGAAACCCGTTTTTTTCATCGCCTATTTTATGTTTTTAAACATTAGAGTGTGTGTATTCAGATGTACAAATACATTTCCTACGTTTCTTGTTCACACCGCCTTGACATTCCATCAAACGAACCTGCCACTACATACATACAGCAAAAAAGAGCACTCACTAGTTACAGCGCTACAAGACTGTATGGACATACACCCACGACGGACGTGCAACCCACAAAATACCATCAAACCCTCCTCACCAACCCCCTCACACCACCCAAAACCACAATCACAACAACACCCCACCAAAAACAAAGTTCACCCCACTTTACAACCACTCCATCATCCTCTTTGTTTGGTACACGGCACGCCGAATCCGGGATGGGTTCCTGATGATGTACAATCTGCGGAGACGGACGCGTACGACGGAAAAACAAGAGCGTGATACTCCACAAGAGCGTACGGAGTGTCCAAGATACGAGGACGTAGATCCATCGTAGGATGCCGAAAAAACCGAGTTGGGATAGGAGGAGGAGTATACCGCAGATATGGAAGGTTATGAGGAGGGTTACGGGGCGTGGTGTGGATGATTGGGGTGGTGGGGTGTAAGGGATAACCGTTGTTGATGTTGATGTTGTCGGTTCAGTTGGTTGGGTTGTTGGTGGTGTTACTTGTACGGCGGATGGAGTCGGACTTTGCGGAATGGTAGATACGAGTTGGGGTGACGGTACTCCCGACAATGATTCCAAACCTTCCCCACTTCCAACCAATGCACCACTTGCGTTCTCCATACTTTTCTTTTTCGATAAATGTTTTTCAAGTCTTTTGGCTGCTGCTTCTCGCCATTCGGCTGCTTCAGCTGGGGTTTTGGGTACGAGTGCTGCTGAGGGTGGAGTTGGTGGGCGGGTGTAGGATGCATTAAGTGGTTTCGAGGGTGGGTCTTTTGTTGCGGTAGGTTCAGATAAAGTAACGAGTGGATGGGTGGATGTAATAGGTGATGACAGAGCTGTGTCGGGGGTTGCTTGTACTTTTATCGTATCTTGGTTGGTTTCTCGTTCCCCTGCGACAATGTACCGTCCTTCAGCCCAAACAGCGACAGCTCCACCTTCCCTCTTCAGCACCCTCTTGCGCCCTTCTCGTTTTTCTGCGACGAGCTTTTTAGCGATGGCCGGATGGGCTTCCACCCATTTTCCGCCTTCCCATACCACTGCCATGGGTGGATGTCGGTTTTGCTTTTCCGCTTGTTCGGTCTCGAGTTTTGGTGTTGTTGGTGTGGATTGTGGCCACCCACCAAAAGGTCTTGGTCCAACTGGTTTTCGATCGAGTTTGGGCACGGGGACGCCTGTAAAGTATCCTTCCCGTGCCGCTTCTCTACCACCGGGTGTGATACCCGTTGGTGTGATACCAGCCGGTGTAGACCCAACGGTCGTGTGAATGGTCGAAGCGGGTGTAGACGGCGTCTCAGATCCCAGAATGGGTCGTGGACCGTATAGCCTTCGTCTCGCCGAATCAGTAGAGGATGTCGTGGATGGTGTGGATGTATCGGTACTGCTGCTTGACGAGCTGGACGCACGGGAAGAGGTCGATGAAGACGATGTGGGAGAGGTCCGTCCAGAGTCTGGTGGTGTTTCTAATCCACGGTGAGTCAGAACGTCTTCGGGAAGGATATCGGTTTGTCGGGATGGGCGTTCGTAGTGGTAAGGTAGTCGACCTGTTCCTCCCGCTGCGAGATGAAGGAGCGCTTCATCAAGGTATCGGGTAGAAAGCGCCATGCTTTCCAAAGCTGTTTTGGTAACCGCATCTAACCGACGTTCCCAATATCAACAAACTATAACGTTTGCAAACAGAGTTTTAAAAATGTAAATGCATACCTTGCAACATGACCTTTTTGGAAAACTCCACCCAGGCATGAACACGCACTCTCACACCTCGCTGTCCACCAACACCAGCTGGGGTAATGCAGTATCGTTGCACCGTTGAAAAGACTGTTCCATAAGGCAGGGAAGGTGTGAGGGTCGTCACATCTACAACGAGGACGCTGTTTTGGCGAGTCATTGAGATTACAGCTGGTCTGCCCTACCGGGTAAAAAGCACCATTACCTGTATTCGTGTTGGACGACATGTTGATCTTCAATGGCCACCGTCAACATATTTCCATCTGAAAACACAAAAACTTTAGAAAACTCGCTTCTTGGAATGTTATCCTAGGATGTGCATACATACACATGGGAGCTTTCACATGGATTTTATACGTAACCCTCCTACGTACCCATCGCCCATGTCGATCCTGCCCCCATTTCTCAATTTTGAGATCTAAAAGTAACAAGTCAAAAAAATAGGTTTTAGTGCATGCATGATGGACACGTTTATATACCACATTTACGAACCGGTACATCCCCTCCGCTCACAAACGCTTTCGATGACCTCTGACCCTCCTTCACCAAATATTGCACCCGCCGCCTCGTTGGCTCCAATCCGGTAAACGGCATCAAGTACGCATCGTCCGGGGTGGGTTTGGCAGGCACAGGTGAGGGATCGGGTTGGGATGGGGTCTTGGTCGGATGATATGGGAATGGTCGGGTTTTGGGTTATAGTTTTTGTGTTTGTCTGGATTTTGTCGTCTATATTTGTGTCCCACTCCTCTTTGGTTTCTAGCAAGGCTTGGTCATCATTCTTCGCAAGGGTTTTCGCCAAAGAAGCCGGCGAAAATGTCAAAAAGGGGGACGTCATATCCAGCTCGGGTATACCCAAGAACGACTGTGGTGGAGAGGATGTCGTCGTATCTGGTAAACCTGGTAAACCTGTCATCGGTGACGTGAAATAATATATTCCCATCAGTATGAAGACAAATACTGTCCATGTTTTAACATTCTGTTTTACCTTCGGCAGCTTCAGCAGCCTTGCCATTCTTGTCCTTATTGTTGACCCAGTTTACCAATACGTCCTGGACAGTCGGCCGGGGATGGCGTCCAGTTGCCCGTCGACCCCGTTTGAGATGTTTCTGTAACATGAATCCAAAAACGCTCTTCTGTAGGTTTTTTTTTTTATGTCGATGAGCCTATCACCCTTGTCTCAACCCCCAAGCATTCAAAATAACGCGCAAGGAGAGACAAAGTGCTCCTGTGGACTCATGCGCAGCAAATCTACGCTACAACAAAAGATGACAGCAGATAACTCCTTTTTAATGTGACGATGACGATGACAAACAAGGAATACAATGGTTTACATTCAAACACAAAGGAACAAAACGGAAATGTCCAAAAGACAAAGGTGCTGTCAAAAGCAACAGGACAATGAACGCGCTGGCGTGAACCTCCCGACCGCCTTCCTCAAAAACCAAAGACTGAACACAGCCAAAAAAAAAAAAAAGAGATAAGCGGTTTTGTTCATTGCGTAAGTAGGAGGTTGAACTGATTTGTCCACATACGACATGATATATACTCAAAGAGGAAAAAAAGGAGAAAGGAAGCATCTGCGCCCAAAAGCCATGCCATGGATGTCCCTTCAACTCCCTCTCCTTTTCGTTGGTTTTTTTTTTTGTGATTTGGACAGACTGCCGAATTGACAGCGTTTCTGCATGCTGTGATGGTTGGGATTTTCCCGGATTATGATTATATTCTGTTTTGGTTTGTCCAAACATTGAGTTCGTGCGGGGGCATTTCCACAGCACACTCGGAGATGCTTGTAGCGCGTACCCCCTTGCAAGGGCTGTCCGCGCGTTGAGGGATTTCATCAGTGCGTGGTCAAACGATGATGCCACTTTGTTACCATTGGGACTATTGGAGGGCGGAACTCTTTTTCCCAAATTCCTGAATTCGGAGCGATCCTCCGTACATTGGAAAGGACGATGCATGCAACCAAAACATGATTACTGAGCGAGATCAGGGCGTAAACAACAAAATGACAGCATGATTCAGTTGCATTTTTGTTCGCATTCAATGGCATACCGCAGGCGACATTGAACGACTTGTAAATGTCCTTTGTCAACAATTGTCAGAAATAGGTCTCGAAAACCGTAAACTGGGTCCACATATGCATGTAATGAATGCATCAATAGTGTGGAGCTGACAGTAAATGGCACTAGTATCCATTATCATCCGGATCAATCCGGTTAATTATATTGCATAATCAGAACCCCCATCGCTGAAAGCGTCCTGCTAATGTTCTCCAAACTGCGGTGTGGCATGCTAATGTAATGTTTTTTTTTCTTTTCAGCTGGACCCCATTTTGCCACACTCAAGGTCTATAAAAGGGGACCTGCCCTCTCTTCCCTCTTTCCTCTTTACCCATCCTCGACTCTCAAACCATCTGCCCAACGCTCATCGCGACCCATTGCAACCTCATAGCGACCCACATTGCAACCTCATTGCGACTCGGTCAACCATGAGCATGCAGATGTGGTGGTGCCGAGGACCTCGACCGCCCGACAGCAACCGTGATCAGAACCAGCGGCAACCAATCGGATCCGATAACAAAACCTACTATTATGCTGCCACATTAGTTGAGCTTGGTTGGTATGTACCAATGGCATCATCTCTTTTCATATTATTCTGTCGCTGACATGCATTTTTTTGTAGTCTCCAAGCCTTGTCACTGAACATCCTCTGGCTTGTGACGCTGCCCAGTCGATTCGCTCCTGGATGCAAGAGTCTGGCTTCAATGCCATCAAGAGTTCCAGATCAAGGCCTAGTAGGGACCGTGTGTGGTGGTGGGCAATTATCCGGTTAAAACCAACCGTTACGTATTGCGTGTATAATTGCCTAGTAGTAGCTTAGCTTTTCCGAACCAGTTGTCGCTGGTTTATTCCCTGGTGTAGTAGCTAGTGCCAGTTTCTGTCACCTCTACACTACTTATGATCAAGTAGAACCAATTTTTATGGTAAAACATTCGAGATGAACGTTCTGCCACCTCTCGACACCGGACTATTTATTTTAATTGCACGTTTTGACAAGACAATGTGACAATCATAGATAAAAGTAAAAAGCGCACATCCCCTATGGAGATGCAGACTATGAAAGAGATACCAAAAACAAAAGTTACATAGAGGTGGCCCCCATTTGTGGGGAGATTTACCGTTCATCGTCACCCTCATCACACGACCAGTACACCGATTCTGATTCCCATTCTTCGTGATCATCATCACCTTGCTCAACCCACAAGGACTCTAGCGCAGACGAAATCAGGCCAACTGATGCTTCACTCACTCCTCTCATATCCACAACTTTTTTAGAGCCCTCTCGAGCTTCTCGCAAACCCTCACATTCGACTCGAAGCATTTCCCGTTCAATCTCTGCTTCACGGACCCACGCACGATACGCCAATGCGGGGCCTGCAATGACGTCCTCAAGACTTTCGCGAAGGGCTTCAACAGAAGGTGCGAGCTGTCCAATAAGGTTTGTGAGATGAGATATTCGTGCGTGTATGGTTTCTACATGTTTTTCGTTGGAAGGGTACGAAGGGAGTGGGGTGGGGCGGATGTGGCTTGGTGACGACGGAACACTAGGGTTGAGGAGAGTGACGGGGGTGCCGGGGGAAGAGCAAGGGGAACGACAGCTGGAGCGATCCGTCTCATCAGAGTCCACTTCCAAGCCTTGAAATGGCCCAATGGTCGAAGCGAATCCCGCGCCCACCAGAAACGTTTCACGTATAGTTTGAAGCATGGCAGCAAAGGCTTCCCGTTGAATTTTCCGCGACGCTAGGTCATCTACCGTTACGCGATTCTCGTCGTCAACGTGCGGGAGGAAGGTTGAACTTGTTATTGAGAGACGCGGGCTAGTTGGCAAACTGTGGAAAGCACCACATGCTCCTAATGAATGTGCGCCTCCCACCGTCCATCGTCGTGCGTTTTTTCCCCAGCCATCACCATTATCTGTGTTCATGGGTGAGCTCCATCGCTTGTTTGCCCCGGTGCTGTTTATACTTTTGTCCGATGCATTCGACTGCTTACGCTCCCTGAACGAAGACAGCTCAACCACTTCCCTCAAAAACTTGCGTTCAAAGCGCAGCTGCCCTATTTCTTCAATATAAGCTTCATATTGTCGTTCCTGCTCTTCGACACTGTCCAGGATGTTCCGCAACTGGTTTCGAAGGTTGATGTATGATGTTGTGAGTTGGTCAAATCGGAGAACGGATTGGGTAAGAGAGCGATTTAATGTGGTTAGCGATGTGTAGTGCTCAGCTGGATACAGCGCAGGAGATATGCATGACGGTAACATTGATTCACCACTACGTAAATGTTAATAGTTAACAACCTGACGCAACACTCTGATGGCTGAACAGCTTTACAACTTACAAGTCACACTCTCCACCCGCGTCTGTTTCCGCTGATTCGTGAAGGTGATGCTCGACAGAGGAGGTCGTCGATGAGGATGAGGATGCAGAAGAGTAACTCGTGCGATGTTTTGTGGATCTCATTTTGAGCGGGTCAAGCACCCCCGGGCGTTTATCAGCACGCATGTGGGAAGCACTCCGTTCTGATTCCATAGAAAACGATCCATCGGTCATCATAGTGTGTTGTTCCTATGGAAGTACTTGATGTTCCAGAAATGAATGTAGCCGGTTGTGTGAAAATGATTGCAAAGAGAGTAGGTTTTTGCTAAACTTCAGTAATTTTCTCGCTTTTTCTGTGTAGCCCTCCACACCCCAATGTCCCTTTCCCGGTGGCAGTCCTTCTGACGACAATTTGAGCTACCGCATGCGATTCAAACGTTCGTATTTGGTATTCATAAAGTGGGAACCACCAACGACCTCGGAGGTTTCCAGGCTAAAAATAGCAACTAACTGCACACAAGCTTATTCCTCTGGTTTTGAAGCTTTTAGGGTCGTTATGGTCGTCGGAAGGTCTAGCTACGGCCAAATGTTGGCATACGCTTGTCAGCAAGAGACCCTGTACTGTATTGTTGGCGAGAAGGCAAGCTTGACCACAACGTTCTAGTGTCCACTGAGATGAATGCGCAGACTGGTCGAGGTATGCGTCGCAGTTGAGGTCGCTTTTGAATATTCTTTTTCAATGCAAAAAGGCAATGAGGTAGACAGGAATGGACAAAACTCGAGATAGATGGAAGCGGAAGGATGGAAAACCAAAATTGTGAAAATTGCAACTTTAGAACACTTGGCTGTTTGCTTGACGCCAAAACTGATCAACTCCGCTAAACTCGTTCAATTTCGCTATCATGACGTGGAGTCACGTTGCCACCCAGTTTCATGGCTGTGCCTACAATCGTTGTGGACATGAAGTCATTTAACAAACTCGCTCTCCAACTTTTGATCAAAAGGCTCTTATTGATGAGAATGCCAAGACAAATGTGCTGCCAAACAGGCCCAATGCATTAGATGGAGGGACGGCGATGAATAACATTGGGAACTATTTCCTTGCGCAAAACAACATTAGCATTGACTTTGTTGGATCCAAGACAGAATGCAACACATAAGGACATTGGGAACCAGGGTGAATGAACCATAGCGCATATAGGGATGGGCACCATATGTAAGCTAGACAAGAGTCTGAGCATCACATTTACAACGATGAGAAATGTAATGAGTACCAGTATCTGCATTTGCGGATCTCCTTGAGATGCGTGCCTGTTCAGGGTGGTAACAGCCAAAGATAACTATTCCATCGCTGCATACAAGTGCGTTATCAGTTACTGTGCCACTTATCATGTGGCACTGTCGATCGTTCCCCACTTACCCACGCATCGAATTGACCACAGGCTGTTTGAACAAGGGATAACGACAATCTTAAAGAGGATTCCTGGGGGCATCATGGTGACAGCAGCGGAAGCAGGTCAGCAAAGAATATTCTGCTGTGATATTAGAACATATCTCTGAACTGGCAGTGACTCCAGCGGCTGCTGAAGTATCCCACAGCTCAACTCGGAGTGTTGGAGATGAACGCTCAAAAGGCAGTCAGGCAGATGACAAGAAACGCTCACGCCGAACACGGAAGCGACCCGGTCGTAAGGCAAAAGAAAACAAGCCACGCACAAAGATTGTCGTTCGCAGATTACCTCCTCATCTTCCCGAAGAGATCTTCAAGACGACCGTTGACAAATGGCTGGGTGAGACGGATTGGTGGACTTTTGTTGCAGGAAAGATTGCCACAAGGTATAGTATATAGCATTCGGAGAACAGATGCACCACCTATGTAAAAGCTTACATTCATTTCAATTGCAGCCAAGCCAAGATCAGCGTGTTCTCTCGAGCATATCTCAACTTTAAAAACATCGATGCTCTTCTTGATTTCTGTCGTACATACAATGGTCATCTCTTTGTAGATTCCAAAGGTATGGGGACCTGCTTGTTTGTTAGGCGCGAGACCTTTATCTCATCTTTGCGACAGGAGTTGAGCATCGGGCTGTGGTTGAATTTGCCCCTTTCCAGCGTATTCCAAAGAGTAAGAAGAAGCCTGACCCGAGAATGAATACGATCGAACAAGGTTTGTACAACGTGTCTAATTGCGACAAGTTGTTACTAGACTAATCCTCTTTACGCGGTTATCACAGACCCAGATTTTCTGGCATTTCTCAAAAGTCTCGAAGAAGACAACGAAGCAAAGGCTGCAGCATCTAGTGTAGCCACTGGAGAAACACAGCTGGAAAAATTGGAAAGAACGTTGTTGGCGGATCAAGTGGCGAAGGAGCAAGGCGTTGCGCACTCAACCGTCACCTCGATAGTAACAGCAAGCTCATCCCAACTCGCAGGACCCGATAAACCAAAGTCGACTCCTCTGCTCGATGCACTTCGCGCAAAGAAGGCAGCGTCACGCGCTGAGGGAAGTAAACAAACAAAAGCAGTCACAGATGCAAAAGGCAAAGAATCACGACGATCGGAAAAGAAGAAATCCTCCTCAAAGTCCAAGGAAGGTGGCAAGTCCGGAAGTACCTCTGGCATGACAAAGAGTGTCGTCCCAACTGGAATAGTCAAACGATCTTCATCACCCGTTGGAAAGAAGTCTGCAACTACTCCGTCTGCATCTGGCGCTTCTTCCAAGGAGGCTACGGACGTGACACCTAAAGCTGAACAACGGCGAAGTCGCCTTGCTCCCACCGGGGGATTATTCAAGGCTTCATTGGGTGCTGTGCTCGGAGCCAAAGAGACCAAGCGACCGCGGGGGAGTGCTCGAAAGCAAAAAGCGGATGAAGACTCTCAAAACGATGCCTCCGCTAGTGGGGATACGGCGCCAGAAGCTAGAGCTAGCAATGGACCTGGTTTACAGGAGAGGGAGGAAAGTAAAGGGAGAGGGTATCGTCAGAAACGTCGAACGCGACTCGAAGGCGATCTCATCGATGCATCAGCTGATGGAGTGACGGCTGTAATCAATGAAGGCGATACAGACACTCGCAAAAGTAAACCTCGGCAAGTGAGATCCCGTGACAATACCGGAACCACGGATCTTTCAAAACCTGCAGAGGCATGGCCAGAGAAAGACGATAGCAGGAAAATGTCCCGCAATCGTGTAGCTTCAACGTCATCAACTTCATCCATGGCTTCTCAGCCTCCAAAGCGCACGGGTCCATCAGTGACGATTATGAAGCGAGATGGAACCACGAGCTCATTCAATGTGGGAAAGAACGATGCAACTTGACACCAATGTCGCTTTGGTATTATTCCGACATTACGTAATCGTTGAGATGGCAAGCGAGCACTATTGAATTGCCCTCGCCACGAAATCGTTGTAATGGACGTTCATTGTCGCATCGGTGCTTACATTGAACGTTCTTGCTGTTCCCCCCGACCATTGACTAAATCATCAAGAAACTTGCAGGACGCTGCTCAGCTTTGCGCATATCTGTATTCGAAGTTCTAGAGTCAGGGGAGGTAACACAATTTGTGGATCATTGACCTAGTCGGCTCTCATTGATGATCGGGAGTCATCCCCCAACATACAGCGTCTGAGGGATGTGATGTTGTAAACCTTGTAAACTCTTTGTGCTCCATGCATGAGATCTGAACTCCATGGTCTACCAAATACAAGGTGCATCGTTTCCAATTGCATGTAAATTCTGATTCGATGCCATACCACCGGGATACTTGAATGGGTTGGTCACAATATTTGAAGTAAAGCCAGAGCTTATTTTTTTTCTGTTTGGGCACTCCATGGACCCGACCGATGGGATGTATGCATTTCGGCGAGGCGGGACAGAAAAGGATTGATTCCTTCCTATGTGTGTTGCTGAGCAGCTGAGTGTGTGAGATCGATCGTATTCTTTTTTGAGAAGGAATACCATATAGATGCTGAACAGGGTTTCCTTTGCGATGCTTGGCTTGGGACAACAATAATAACTTGAATACGCGCGAGGGTTAGGGTATCGGTGCAGTTCAGTGAGGCCATCAATGAAGAGATCGTGGGTGGTCCCCATTAAATCTCGTTCATGAAGGGACAAGAGGGAGCAAAAGGTGCTGATAGTGACGTGAGCCAGACATTTTGAGTGGGATTTGTGTTGTGTGTATGTGTTGTGTTGGTGTGCCCGTGAGCAAAAAAAAAACTGCGATAACACCTGGAAGGATGTGAAAAGAATGACCTGGTGGAAATTCTCCTGCAAACGGCAGTTTAGGTTTTATAGATTACCGACTTTCTCAGTTTGCGTATATCTTGTGCACTATTTCTCAAGTACATACAAGGGTTGAGCAACTCGGTGTGTGTTTATGTATTCGAAGCAACACGGTCCTTTAAAAGAACGCAAGCATATCAAAGTCTAATTCCCCCACCCACCACATCACAACCACGGCCGAACCACACATTTTTGAGGCACAGGAGGAGAACCTCCACAAACTCTCCCGACATTCGGATGAAGACGATGCGAGAACCCTTACTGGGCACCTTCTCGATGACATGCAGAAAGAGCACGATTCTTCGGACGAAAACGACATGCTTGACAGCGTTCCTCCACCTCCGACCCGACGACGGGGGAGTGTATTGGATGACGCTATTATGAGAGATATGTTGGGTAAGCGGGCGGCGCCGGCTGAGGGGCAAGAGGACAGAGAGGAACGGGAGAGAATGGAGAGGATGTATGTCATGTTGAGGTGAGGCGTGATGGGAGTTTACCGAGTTTAATGGTTCTTGACGAGGGGAGAATGCTTACAAGTATTTTTATTATTTTATAATATCAAAGGTGGTCCAAACGGTATCGAGCAGCGCTTGTACGAGACGCCAACGCCAGCTTCGCCGCCGACGTTGAAGCCGCTTCCTCCCCATCCGAAGCGTCGACATCATTTACCCAACTCTCAACCCCATCGACATCATCCACAATGTCGAATCTCGATATGACAGCCAGGCGATCATCCATGAGCACTGGTTCATTTGGTGCCGGGCGAATGTTCGCCAAGGATGAACTGGATGCTGCCCTCGCGGGCCTGGAACTGGATTCTGCTGCGGCGAGTTCCCATTTGGACGTGTCGAGTGCAGAAGCCTCAAGACGAGGATCAGACTCTTACGAGGAGCCAACCGAGGTGGTATGTCGTCCTTTGACGGCAACAACTGGAGTTTTGACGCGGAAAAGACCTAGTACAGATCGACCAAAGCGTCGTGTTCAATTCGCTGAAGAAGTGAAACTGATACCCCCAGAGGAATTGATAGATGATGAGGGCGGCGATGCAGATAATGAATTGAGCGGGGATGAAAGTGGAGAAATAGAGGAGAATGAATCAAATCAATCCATTACTCCAATGGAAACCTCGGACGCTAATATCATCACTGCCACAAGCAATAAGAACAGCACCAGCAGCGATGAAGATGAAGAAGAAGGAGAAGAAGCACAAAAAATTGATGTTAAATCGAAATCTCCGGCGGTGAAGAAGCTCACCAAAGCTTTCAAACGAGCCTTCTTGGGTGCCAAACCGCAAGTACGAGTGGTTCACGCCGCTTAAGTGGACATATTTTGGCTCTAGCAGGTTATCGCCTTGGATCTTTTCAATATCTTTTGGTGGTGGGCGTTACGTTGGCTCTTCTTGAATAGTATAGCAGACTATCTTGCAGGCCTTTTTAACGAAATGTATATAGTTCTGTTATTCGGGTTTCTGTTATTTGGGTGGGGACACTCCTTTGTCGGGTTTGGCTTTTTTTGGGATGCACTTGGACTTTCGAATTTCACAAAACAAATACGATTTTCCATTCTTTGATGCTGTCAGAGGTTCAGTTACATTATATTTTGATGCTATGCACAGACCTAAATATATTCCCTACCCACCCACAAACCATTCGACCAAGCAGACCATAACGCGGACAACGTCTCGAAAATTGCTTTTCCTCATGACATGCTCAATGTGGCTTCCTCGTTATTTGCGAATCAAATGTAACATACAACCCAGTCGTTGCGGCGACCCGTTTAGCCTAGATCAAATACGCAATACTGTCACCACCATGCGACAAGGGCATACTCCAGAAGTTGCACACAATAGAGAACCGACTTACATTTTCCAAAATATCCTTCACAGACGTTTCTTCATTAAGCTGTTCCGCGACATACCACTGAAGAAACGTGTCGGTCGTATAGTCACCCTCTTCTCGCGCCTGTCGGACGAGATCCATGATGGCAACCGAGTTGAGCTGTTCTTGTTCCAGAGCCTTTTCCCTACACATACAAATGATATATCAGTATGTCCAATCAAGCAAACCAAAAAACATTTAGACCTACTAACCAAATCTGCAAAGGGTCATCATACGAAAACTTTTGTTGCCCGATTGCGTGCACCAAAGCCCCCTTTGCCCGCCTCTTTACAATGTGATCGAAAATCTTTAGACCGTGCATGCGCTCTTCGTCAGATTGGGTTTTGCACCATTGGGCCGAGCCAGGAAGTTCACGGTCTTGGAACCACAAGGACATGGAGAGATAGGCATTTGAATTGGACAGTTCGCGGTTAGCCTGAGTGTATGTGAAGCGATTAAAGGTGGCATTTGCGGAAAAGTGTCAATTGCTATTATACTTGTTGAATAAGGCCGTTCAAGATTTTGTTGCTGATTCTCATTGCCATATTGGAAGATTGTTGCGGTAATGCAAGTATGGAATATTTGGAAATGCAAAAGGATAGACAAGGCGACCAAGAGAACAAGGGCAGGAATATCAAACGCAATGGCTAGGAAAGAACACTTCTCAACAATTCGCGTGATGTCATCAAGTTGAGGTCTGTCACGTGATCTAAACCAGATCTACTCGCCGTGTATTTGCGATTCAACCTCCTTGCATATAAATCGTACGATAATCGCTATAAATTAAAATCTATGCTTCGAGCGCCAGCCTTATATCACCGCCGGTCATTTACATGAACATACTCAACATCTTCCACCCCCTTTCGCGCAACATCCTTATTAACCATCTCGGCAATCATGGCATTGTTAAACCCCATTGGGTTATCTACGCACAACAGTCGAGTCAGAAATGGCGGCAGTCCTCAAAACGATAATTATACGTACCAAGATACAAGTGATGGCCGGAATCAGCTACGCGGGCTATTCGGGTGGGTACCTTCATTCCTTTAACGGCACTCATGGCGGCGTGGTAATCCATCCAGTCGTGCGCTCCGTCTAAGTGACATGGTCTTGTTATCAGAATTGTAAAGAAACGGATGGTCTACATTTTACTGGTGCTTACATAAGAAGGTCGTTGGCATCTTCAAATTGGCTAGGCGGTCGTGAAGGGGTTTCCGTGCCCAAGCTCCCTATGCGGAACAAAGCACTCATTAGAGGATGCAACAACAACAAGCTTCGAAGAGGTAATATACCGGCAAAAGTAATCTTGCTAATGCAAACTCTCCACTTCCGGTCTGAGCTGATATATGATAGATATAACTGTGCAGATCGTCTGCGTCGCTCTGGTCAAGGTAGGCAAACCTGAACGATAATCATGAATATCCAGGCTCGCACTCAACGTCCAAACAGTCCATCTTACCGACGACTTGTGTACTTGCGGACCAGTGATGGACCTATTCATCAGCGCATTAGCAATTGACGTGTACTATCGAATAAGATATCTTATAAGAAAATACTCACCCCAGGGCCCCATCGTACGAATAACAGACATGGGTGTAACATTCCATGACCACAACGTCGTAAAGAGCGCGGGTAGGAATCCACGTCGTCTCAGTGCCGCTTCCTGACCTTCTGGTATTTTGCCAACACCGGCTGATATCCGAGAATTTTAGTAGAGGCCAAGCCGCTGCACCATTTGAACATGCGATATGTACCTGGCGAAACAAGCACAAGTTTCTCGACTCTTTCAGGGTGTTTCAACGCGTAACATGCAGAGAGGTAACCACCCAGACTATGTCCTATTTATTATTAAAAACTGCATCAGATTATAACCATGGCGAATATGAAAGTCTGATATACGTACCCATCAATGTCATTGAATCAATACCATTCGCCTCTCTCCACTTTTCTAATGATTCTACAAAAAACGTCTCCGCATCTTCCACGATTTCATCATCCGTTGCTCCACGTTTTAATTTCGGGAATGGCGGACGACTACTATTTGCCATGCCAAGCCAGTCGATAGCATAGATTCTCCAGCCGGAGACGTCGCTCAGTCCAGCAAAGTTCTGTTGACCTTAAAGAATTAACAATGCAGGTTGCCGTATTGGATGAGAGCTTATCACCAAACGTACCCTATAAAAAAAACCCAACCCAGCCCCATATCCGTGCGCCATAACCAGAGTCTTCTTCTTTGTGCCCGTTCGACCAACTTCTTCCACGGGGGCCACGTCCTGTTCCAAGTGAACCATTTCGCCGCCTGATCCATGACTCAGTTCTCTTCGCAGGATACCAGCACCCGTGGTATGATGCAACTTTTCATCTGTTCGATCGATAACTAGTGTGTTGATCATTTGCCCATCGCCAACGTCTACAAGGCCCACACGGGCAATCAAACTCTCGTTCGGCTCCGTGGATTGCACCGACGCAATATCTTGAGAGATGTCTTTGGTTGGTGTTGGCAGTTCGGTTGTTTCTTGTACAGCTTCACGAGCCTCCTGTGGTGTAGCAGCTCCCACGAGGGTACTCGCTGGCTTAAAGTACTGAAATCTAGAGAGCAACCTGTTTTCTGCCGCCTGCGCCAGCGTCACTGATGTCGGTGTCCAGGAGAACAAAGACCAACTTCGGCCCTTGGGTTGTTGGTGGGGCACAAATGCAACGTCGGCCATTGTGGACTGTCGAACAATGCGCCGCCGTAATGAGGCAAGTCGTTGTGGAGTAAAGAACGGGACTCTGAGAGTACGGGCTTTCTGAGCGTTGCAAATTCGAGGGTCAGCACCTTTAGGTAATGCTCGTCGAAAGTTGTCTATAGCAGCAGAGAGCTGAGAAGCAGTGTCTCGGTGCTTGTGCTCGAAGGATCGCCTCCAAGCGGCTATGCGTTGGGCGTGGCGATGCAACGTTGCGATGGTATGAGAGTGGAGAATGGAGATGAGGTTATAAAAGTGACCTTTGCAAGTCGCTCTTTTTAAAAGATGTGGAATTGGAAACTTGACAAATGCCGTTTTGCTGGTCGGCAGCGGGAATTCCGGATGACGGAAGCGCGATCCCAAACCCTCTGAGTCATCGTCATTCGTGGCAGCCTTCAAGAGGGTCGCAATGTATTTACGCACAATGTTACAGAGAATTGTTAAAGTTTTAGTTCATTAAATCGTAACGCTGAGCCAGAAACGAGTAGAAAGCATGAACGCATGAGCATGTCAATTCCAAGAAAGAAACGTAGTGCACTAAAGAACAGCCCATGCATTGGACCTCAACGGTGGGCATGCAGCTAGGCGTTACAGTCTACTCCATTTCAGTAGACGTCGCCTTCTCAAAGCACTCACGGACTGCGTATCAGAGTACCACTTGTGTGTATCTGCCTCTGATACCATGTCATGACATCTGCTTGTTGCACATGGTAGACCATGTCAACTGGTTATCAAAAAGGAATGTTCGAAAGCGCAGTTCTGGCAGTTTCTGCTGACATAATCATGAACAGCTGTGCCATCAACTTCACGTAACACGCCCTTTCCTACGCAGCCATTCCTTCGTTTTCCCCACGGAGGTTTTATTCGCCATCTGTGGCGACTGCAGATTGCCGCAACTTTACCTGTCGAACTTGTCTACTTGTTTTACGGTGAAGAGATTTGCTGAACGCATTCATCTGTGATCTCGGTCACCGTCGCGTCAATATGGCAACAGAGTATTACGATATACTTGGTCTGGAACAGTGCTGCACCGCAGAAGATATCAAAAAAGCGTAAGTGGGTTGGTTCTTCCTGCCATGAATTGACGTACTAATGTAGTATTGATGTGTAGTTACAAAAAGGAAGCGCTTAAATGGCACCCGTAAGTCTGACTCGAAGTGCGAATATCAACTTGCGCCCTCATACCGATTCCTTTGATGTTCAGCGATAAAAATTTGGAAAATGCTGAGGAAGCTCAAATGCGGTTTCGGCTTGTAGCTGAGGCATATGAAGTGTTGAGCGATGGTACGGAGTGAATGAACAAGTTTCGGTGGAAGAGCATGATAGATCGTTGATTCTAATTTGGCTTGATAATCAAGATCAAAAGAGAGCGTACTACGATCGCACGGGTAGGACCTAGACATTTTCAGAGAACCATTTTGTGAAAGGTGCTTAACCACATGCGTGTTACTTCAGGTGCTCAAGCCAAGGATATCCCAGAGAATCCGTCAGTCCCATCCGGTGAAGTGGTGTTGCGGTTCACTGTATTAACGACTCCTGTGTACTGATTTTTCATTATATTCTTTCAGCACACCCGAGAGGACATCCGGTCGATCCTTTCCATGTATTTGAAGCCTTCTTTGGAAACACTTCGCTATTTTCCGTCATGGAACAGCTTTTCAGTATGTGCCGTTTACCATGCTTTTGGTTGCGCTGCTTGACAGGGAATTGACCATGGATCGCGGCTATCATTACCCCAGGTCATGATCCATTTGAAGATTTCCGAGCCCATAGCCGCACACGTCGGCCTAACCCCGGCTTTCAGCATCTGGACCCATTTTTGCAGGGTTTCTTGGGTCATCCTTTTGCCGATATTCCGACTGGACGGGCACGCATTACTCGCCAGCGTCCTTCAGTTTCCCAAGATCCATCTCGCCGCGATCCTTTCTCTGACCCCTTCTTTGATAGGATCGGTGTGTTTAGGAGCTATAGCACCATTCCCTCGATGCATGAATTCTGGGAAACAGCGCACAATGCTTCACACTTGAATCTTCCGAGAAGCGCGTCTTGTCCTGTATCTGACCCACATCTACACCATGCGACGCCAGAGGCATTCGCCGGAACCCGGCAGCCGCGAGACTCTGGTGTCTCGATGCATTATAGTCCTTCCGAACGCGGTGTACCTTCGCAGCCTCAGCAACCGCATCCACTGCAGGCGTCTAGAGAATACGCTCAACCTATGGGTTCTAACAGACAACCCTCTTATCCTATGCGCGCATCTGAGCGCTCGGCGTCAACGAATGGATCTACCCGGATCAATGTTCCCATATTGTGAGGTGGAGATGCAGGTGGCGTATGTTATTGGGTATACCAGCGGGTTCTGCATAAGTAATCTGAAGGCGAATGATGTCTTTTGCATAATTTGGAGTGCAATGCAAATGGGAATGGGACGCCATGTATCGATTGCATTCTGGTCTGATGTATATATTGTTCTTTGATCTACCAAGTTGTGTTTAGTTTCTTGTTTTCTGCTTTTTTGTCCAAGCCTCGTATATATACTCTGTTGGCTGGTAAATGCTGCCTAACACTGCAAGATCCTAACTATCTGCCTAGCAGATTTATGATATCAGTGCATAAAATGCCCTCACTTGGTGACATTTACAACGATTTTCCCTGAGGCGCCGGATCAGAAAGTGAGTTTGGCTGGAGAGAAACTGTGTGATGCGAATAAGACCATAACGTACCCATACTCTGATTACTTTCCATGTACCTGTCCCGAAAAACAAAGGAAAGTCCAATCAGAGCGATTCAATCCCCAAATTGGTGACAATTCACTTGCGTAAAACCACTATTTACCCACCTATGAGCCTCAGCAATGTCCTCCCATCCAAATTCCTTATCAATAATCAATTTCAAACTTCCATCGACAAGGCCCGGTAGGACCTCTTTTTCAATATGGTTTCGCAGAGCGATTTGGTATTCTAGTGAACGGGAGCGAAGCGTGGATCCTTGAATCTGTCGGGCCAATCTTAGTGTTTGTAGTCTGGTCGAATGGAAACACACGAGTCATACCTTGAGTCGTTTGAGAAGGATAGGTGCCATATTGGACTTTTCGAGGACAGCGCCTATATAGGTCAAATGGCTCAGGCTTTGACGCTCTATAAAATACTGATCAGCAAATACTTTACCTTGCAAGAAAGCCAAGAGGACCATACGCCCATCCACTGCCAAAGAAGCCAGGTTTTTATCCCAGTACCCCGCTCCGATAAAGTCTACAATGGCATTGACACCCTTTCCGTTTGTGATTTCTTGCACCTTTTTGTTTATCACAGCAGTGGGTTGACATTGAGCATGTCTAAAAAGTCATTTGTCAAGTCCGCACCTTTTGTTGAAAGTCTTCTTTTTTGTAATTGACACCGTCGGTTGCTCCGAGGGATTTGCAGAATGCGAGCTTGTCTTCGTGTCCGGCTGTTACAATGATGTGTTTTCTTTTGGTGCAAACAAAGAATTATGAGGAATGGTATATAACGATTCATGACAAACAAAACGGACGTACGCCTTGGCCTTTTTGGCAAGTTGAATAGCAGATAACCCCACACCACTGGCTCCAGCATGGATGAGGACATCCTCGCCTGTTTTACAAATAAGCTGTCTTGGCAGTTTGCGTAAATCTACCTTTGTCATAGGCGTACCTTCTTTGAGATCGTTGATCAGAAACAAAGCCTGATATGCCGTGAACCAAACCTTTGTCCAAGGACTAGATCAGCATCATGTGTGGAGCACAAACAAACAAGTGTTTTGCATACCTCAGGAATGGCAGTCGCTTGTTGAAAGGTAAACTGTTCCGGAATGGACATTGCCATGTGTTCCGAAATTGTCACATACTGAATCGCACGTCAACTTTTCCTGAATACCATTATTCAACTTTGTTGACATCAACCAACCTCTGCGTAGGCACCCCCATAGACGAGTCCAAAAACCCTATCCCCCTTCTTGTACCTCTCCACTGACCAAACAAGTCAGATTAGATCCACAATCTATAAATCGAGCGATCGTCGGCATACCCTTTGGACCAACTTCCTCCACAACACCCGCAAATTCCACCCCGAGGATATCAGACGCCCCCTTTGGAACGGGGTAATGCTGGTCCCGCTGGAGAATGTCCATTCTGTTCAAAGCAAAAGAGTGGATCTATCATATTGGGTTCACTTTGATTAGTCAGAACCTCCTTTTTGTAATGGATGGATAGGTTTGTTACCTTCACTAGTAGCTCATCGTCCTTTGGACTCGGTTTGGGAACGGTATCGATCGCCAGCCCGGATGCATTGCCTTTTGTTTCGCCCGTTTTCAATAATGCCACTATCAGATAAATAAGCAACTGTGAACCCCACCTGGCTTTTTGACAACTACTGCTCGCATAGTCCCCGTCATAATCCTTGCTTGTCGCTTGACCACAGATCTGTTCGTCTGTTCGTCGATTATATGAATAAAACTATTCAGTCGATCAAAAGTGTTTTCGAAAATCGAACGCTGACAAACAGGTTGGGATATCAAAGTCGGCCATTTGGGTGGTCCGACGTTCCGCCTGGTGACGCGTAAGGAACGTCAGGTTGGCTCTGTCGAGTGTCGCAGCATGGAGCAGCTGCCCGACAAAAAGTAAAGCGATAGCACCAGAGTTGGACCTACTTTTGCTGTTGCAGAGCCACTGGATATACACAAAAGTAACTTATGAAATCTGTGAGCACAAGATGGTTTCCATTAACTTCTGGTAGTAACCTGGGTGCCATTAAGGCATTCAGAACATTGAATTTTATAAAGCATCACGAAGTTAAATGGCAGATGAAAATGTAAAAGAAAGGTGAGATGTCTCCAGCACAAGGAGAACTTGGGCTCATGGAACCCGAACATCAGAAGATGGGTCCTTTACATGAATGCAAATGGCGAGGGAAACCCCGTTTTGCACTTTCATATGTCTTTACGCTCCCTGTAATCTGCATATGGGGTTGCTTCACCGTGTTATGGAGCTGCATACTGTTTAGTTGTGCCATGTGGTATTCATGCATTAGTGCTCGGCTTCGACTTTTCCTCACGAAACCGGTTCAAGGAAGAGGTGCATCATCTTGCCGTCCGAACCCATGTCACATCAGAGGGGCATCTCAACAGGCAAAAAAAAGGCCCACAAAAATTCATCATCCAAAAGTCCACGGAGAATCGCAACCAGATCCATTCGCAGGATTAAATCGATATATATTAGTCTACCCGCAACATTCCCCTTCGCCAACTGTTCCTCTACTTCATCTTTGCAAAGAGTTTGTCCGCAGCCTAAAAGTTTCCAAATTTCTCAAGTTAGATACCAGTCAAATCTGACTATGAAGGGGATTGCCATGATCTTCAGACTTACGCAGTGGTTGACGCACTCCTACACAAGAGAAAGGAACACATGTCAAACACGACACTGTAGTAGGGGCTGGAAATGGAGGCTTACCATCAAGTCAAAGAACTCTTCAACGCAGGTCTCTTCTCCAGCATCCCCGCCTTCCACTCGTGCAGTACACGCGTCGAGTTTTGCCTTTAGGCTGTGGCAATGGTGACCCTCAGCACAGTCTGCCAAAACGGACGAGATTTAGCATTGAGTGAATATGCTACAATCTAATCACCTGCGCAAAACAAGCACAAATGACATACCGGCTTCAATCTGGGGCTTGGGGTCTTCAGAGGGGTTCCAGTCGTCAGACATTGCTAGCGGATGTGGGTGATGGATGAGGAAAACGATTGCCCAATTTCCACCTCGGAGAAGGACCTTCAACAGCAGCCACGACAGGGTATCACGTGAGTAACCTAGCAACCAGAGGCCGAGCGTCGCCGAGTGATTACCTAATACACGTGATATGCTTGCCAAATTCAACCAATCAAACATCTTCAGTGCAACATAATCCCTCCCACATCAGCAAGCATTGCAGCCAGGTTGAATTAACCACATTTATTGTGACATCATCCTCACGAAGATAAACAAAAAACGGGTCCAATACCTGCAATGAATGATTGGCAATTACTATCCCTTTGCGGCCATCTATGAGAGGAATATTCTGCAGTTGCCACCTGCATACATGCATGACTCAATATATCTGCTCTTTTTTCTATATAAACCCCCCCTCTTCTTCTTCCCTCTTGTTTCTTTACCCTCGACTCGCAAGCATCTGCCAGCACTCAACTCTCAAGTCCATCATGAGAATCCTGCTCTGGTGCCGAGGACCTCGTCCGCCCGACAAATACAACATAACCCCTTGCAAATGCTGCTACTACTATATCGCTATGATCGCAGGTATATCTTGATGATTTTTCCCACGCGCATATTCCCAGTCTAATTCTGATCTACCTTGGTATCTGAAACATCCTCCAAGAATTTCGGAATCAAAGGGCGAGTAGGATTTCTCTCGTGGTGGTGGGCGCTAGTTACCCGGTTAGAACAACCGTAATGTATTGCATGTGTAATTGGGCCTAGTAGTAGTTTGTTACTTGTAAGGAGTTCGTTAGCTAGTTAGCTTTTCCGGGCTGGTTGTCGCCAGTCCAGTGGTTCAATCCACATTGGTGTATTAACCAATACACTAATCCCTTGCTTGAAGAAATTTGGCGACGTGTGTTGGGAGAGGTGTCTCGTTCCTTTTTGCTCTCGCTCTTCCTTTGAGCTTGTTTTTTTTTTCTTCTTGCGCCAACGACGGACAGTCGCCTCTTCGTCTTTGCGAATGACCAATATGGACTCTGTTGGGCCAATGCGCAAGAAGCCAGGTGCCAAGCCGAATCCCTTCATAACGGACATGGTTGCGCATAGGAAAGAGAAGAACAGGCAGGCTCAAAAGGCATTGCGAGGTAGCGTGTTTTTCGGTTTGGTTTCCACCATGTGCGCGAAATTCATGCTTTCCTTCATGTAGAGCGACGCGCACAGCAGGCCTTTGAGCTCCAGAACGAATTACGTTCTCTCCGCTCTCAGGTCTCGTCTCTTGGTCAGGAACGGGCGCAATTGCGTCAAGAGAACCGGCAGCTACAACAGCTTCTGGCTCTTACCTTTAGCTCGTGGCTTCCTGAGGTTGCGCAGGAGATGGCGGATGCTCACTCGCACGACGCCGTGATGATTGCGGCAAAGGCATTAGCGGAGTTACAGGCTCGCCCAGTCATTCGTCAAGAGAAAGTATTTGCTGAGCCAGCAAATGTAAAGACTTACTCTCCAGTTCCAATGGACGTAACACAGACTGAAGATGATACAGAGGACGAAAGCTTTCAAGAGGGAGGCGAGGATACATTCCTTCCGGCGATTCAATCAGAATGGGACGATAATCCCAAAACACCCAATGCTGAGGAGTCTTCGGTCATTACCGCCCATATATCTCACCTCCCCACACCCGATCCTTGCCCTCCCATCAAAAGCTGCTGCCCTCCTGCAAAGAACCCCTTCTCTACCACCTTAGAGCCACCTGCAGCCGTTGAAAACTGTGCCGAGACTATGCCTTGTTTCGTTCTTCGCGAGAAAATCCTCAAATACGGTCGACACATTGATCTTGCTGCCTTGTGTGATGAATTAGTGCGGCGAGCGGTTTGTCACGGCAATCCGTGGGACCCCGCCGATTGGACGGTTCCTCCAGACCTTTTTGAACGTTTTCCTTGCATGAAGTAAAATGTACGGACCCCACATCTTACTTTTGGTGATTTCTTGTATATATTAGTGTGTTGTCCTGTCGTCGAGAAACGAGTATTATATCGGATAGAGAAGCGTTGATGTGCTCTGAGCTGGTGTCCTGAGTCATGTCCAATACAATTATTTACAACTGCAAGTCTTTTGGGATTAAACGATGTGGAGAGTTGAACTGTGGGGTATTCTGATGGAAGCATGTAGGCTTTCGTTATAGGCCTTTAAAAATAAAAACAAAAAGGAAGAGCAGAAAAGACCTTCAATAGTATCCATGACTGTGCCATCCTTGGCCGTACACGTGCTCAGAGGCTGCTATTTACAAAGGAAGTTGAAAGTGCGCAGAGACCACTTCACCAACCTCCACGATCGGTGGAGGACAAGTCACCTTGAAAACCCATTTTGCAACACTTTTCTACTTGCCTCCAACGACGGAGATTGGGCCACTCAGACATCACATGCACACACCCAAAAAACGTCCCTCCGAAGAGGTCATCCGCCCCTGCTCGCCAAGCAAGAAAATGCTGACAGTTTGCGAGCAGAAAGTGACAGTGATTGATTCCGTGCCGGGCCATGTGCACGTCGAGAGACCGTTATTGAAGGAGCTTTGCGACCGAGAAAGAGAGTCTGCACAGGCCAAGCTGAAGAGAATGGCTGAGAGTCCTGTGGCTGCTCTGCCACATGAACTGATTTCGATGGTCTTTTATTGTGAGTTTCCGCATGTGTTCAAGAAAAGTAGAGGGCGAAAGGGGTGGTGTAGGTTATGAAGGGTGGCTCATACGCTCTTTGACTTTTGACACAGACATTCACGATCAGTCCACCCTGGCACGAATTGCGCTTGTTTGTCGCGCATTCAACATTTGCGCGACGCCTTTATTATACAGGCAAGTTGGGAAGGACTTTCCCTGTTTGCAGATGAACAGAATGTTAACCTGGTGTTAAATATGGTTTCCTTCCTGCATTAGATATCCCAAATTCAAGTCCACCTTCAACTGGGCACAATTTATTCAAACGTTGATTCGCCATCAGAATACTCGTCCGCTGGGAACATTTGTTCAGGTATGTAACTATCGGCTGTAGTGCCCTATATTTCCAATTATGTTGTATGTATACTCATGCGCGATATGATGTTGACACTTGCTGCTTTTCCAGATGATTGATTTATCCTCACCAGAAACAAAATCTAATTCCAGTAACAGCAATGCGCGGTCGTCTCGCGTCGTTCCAATTTATTCCTCGGCGGCTACGAGCACCATTGAGCTGATTGTTCAGACAGGGGAAGCTGGAAACAACAACCAGATCGGCGTAGAAGATGATGGATATAGTATTGTTTCTGAAGATAACGAACCTGATATTCTGTCGACGATTTTACCGCCAGTTACCATGTTGGTGAATGGTAGCCAGTGGGGGTATGCGGAGAGTCATGTGGGGGGGAGTGCTGATGGACAAGGAATTACGACGGTCCCACCAGAGCCACCTACGGCCGCACCACCTCACCACACGGTTGTCTGGAACTATTTAAACCAGCCTCCTACCGCCGTGCATCAACACCCTCTTGTACATCATCTCCACCATCCCGGCTCCACCCTCGCCTTCCAACCTGGACATAATCCACCAATTCCACCCCATATCCTCCATCACCTACGGGTTCACCAAACCGACACAATACCCAGCACCCCGGCAAAAGACATAAAAAAGTCTCCCCGACTGCAAATACAATCGTCATCCTTAATATCCCTCGCTATAAACTGTCCAAACCTCCTTCACGTGTCTCTCTCCAACTGTCCTATCCTCCCCGACACGCTGATAAAGGAGACAAATGAATACCTGTCCACCGTTCAATACACGCCTCAACCATACCTAACCCGAATTCCAATCACACCGACAACGGCACTCGAGCGTCTCGTCAAAGTGTGTCCCCGGATTGTGAGTATTGATTTGCGGGGATGCGAATGGGTAACAGAGGAAGTTGTCAATGTGTGCCTGGGATGGAAGGAGTTGCGAGCTCTGAATTTGGGACGTTGTGCAAAAATTGGGAGTGGATTAGCGAAATTATTTTTTGTGGATAAGGGTGAGACTGTTGAGGGGGCTGTAAAGAGAGTTTTGACTGCTGGCAATGGGAATACCAATGGAAATGGAAATGCAAATGGAAACGGGAATGCAAACGGTGGAGGTACTGGGAATTAAAAAAGAATTGTAGCGACCCTCGAGTTTGTTGGTTGGTGCATGGTATGGTTGCGTTGTGCATGAGCACATTTTGCGTCCCTCCAAAAAGCGAGGGGATGTGTCAATGTTTTTTTGCTAGTTTTGTTTTACCTTCCTGGACACTATATGTTGCAAAGTTTGTACTGTTGGTATACGTTTTTGTATGTGAATAGTGCCGCTGAATGGAAATCAAATATAACTTTGCTGCCAACCCTCATTGGTTTACGAATAATCAAACCATCTATATTCTTGCTCTTTGTTTGCAATGTTCCACGAGATGATGAGATGGTGAGCCGCGGGTCGAATATGACGGTAGATGGAATCCTCACAAACACCTAACTGGGGAATACCATAACTGAGGAATACACAGACGAAAAGCCCAAATTCACGCAAACCCATCCAAAACATGGCAGTCATAACCAGCAGCTTCCTAACTCTGGTAGCAGTGTTAAGAGCCCGATTCTAAAGAAGGTGCTTGAAAGATTTTAACCCTTGGTCGATATGCTTGGTCAAGCGGGAAAAGGCACAGCATTGATATCTGTACGATGGGATTTGAAACAATAGGCTGTGTGTTTGTCAGGGAAAAGATGCTAATAAAGAAGGTCACAGGCGACTGGGCTTTCGGAGGGCTTGCATAATTTGGAGTACATTGCCCAGGTATCAGGGAAACCTAAAAACTTGGTAAGGGATTCGGGCGGTGACGATCTTTTAACTCTTTGGGCTTTTGTCCTCCCTAACAAAGTTCGGTGAGGCAAATCGTAACTTTACAAGGTATGCCAAGAATGGCGAGTTTTCGATTCTGGCCGCTGAGCTTTTCGAGCGGTCACCTCCAGGTATTTCCATGCACCAATTTCCCCTCAAAATCAGTCCCAAATTGATCCATTCGAGAATATATTATGATTACGACCTTATGTACACTGCGTATTCGCAGTCCTTTACAACTGAACAAAAACGAATGCCCACCAAAAACAAACTATCCGAGATAAGCACTCTCGGCCACATAACTAAATCCTGCAAAATGATCAAACGCAGCTTCAGAAGGCGAATCCGCTACGGGCATCTTGGTAAAGCACTCATCGAAGTTTGAGGTATCCTCTGGATCCAACATTTTGGGCACAAGTGGCGGAGCAACTTCCAATTTAGCCAATTTTTGCCAGTCTAGTTTATTCCGGCGAAAGAAAAGGTGTTCTTTGGCCTGAGCAGGGCCTTTTGGACCGCTTCCGAGTCGCTTTCCAGGGTTCTTTTGCAGGAGCTTCGTGCAAAGATCGCGTGCATGGGCAGTCATGTATTTCGGGCAGGTTACTTTCTTCTTTAAGATTCCGTCCATGATTTGCTTGCGATTGCCCTTCCATGGCACAGATCCCGTCAACATATCATACAACATCACGCCCAGACTCCAATAATCGACGGCTTTGTCGTATCCCTCCTGTCGGTGCTCGTCCAATACTTCGGGTGCCATAAACTCAATGGTGCCGCATACGGTCCGCGCATCCAACGCAACTTTAGAGAGCCCGAAATCAGTCAACAGGACGTGGCCGGTGGAGTTGAGGAGAACATTTTCGGGTTTGAGGTCTCGGTAGATGATACCGAGTTCGTGGAGATGCTCGATGGCAAGTAAGAGCTCCGCAATGTAAAAGCACGCTACATCTTCGGCAAACATCTTTTCATGGGCCAAGTACGTGAAGAGTTCGCCTCCCGATGCATAACTCAAAATCAGGTACAACTTGAATTCAGTTTGGAAGGCGTAGTGAAGTGTGACAATGAAGGGGTGCTGAACTTCTTCCAAAATATTTCGCTCATTCCGAGTGTGCTCCGCATCTTTACCGTGGAGAACAATCGAAGCCTTTCGCAATACTTTCATTGCGTAGAGATCGCTCTTGCCTTGCGTGGCATGTAAGCCACCTTTCTTGCGAACCAAAAACACCTTTCCGTACGCCCCTTTTCCAATAACACTGACAACATCAAAGTCAGAAAGTCCTACTTTCCGCCGATAAACAGAGTTGGGCGTATCTGCAGACGTAATTGCTGTGAAATTGTGAATATCAACGACTTGGGAGACATCGGCAGGTTCTGCAAAGGAGAGACGCGGTTCTAAAGTTGATGCGGTGTCTTCCTCAGAGGGCGAAGAGGGTAGTATACTGCTTGGGGTTTCGGCAATTGTTGTGCTCTTCTTGCGGACGGCTGGGTTTAGGTTTGATTGACCATTGGGGACAGGCGGTCGCCACCGCACCGTACTGGAAGAAGCTATAGACGACCATACATCAGCCCAAAATTCGCCCTGGCCAGCACAGCCCACTAATGAACACATACCATCAGAGTCTATTCCACTCAAGTCCTCACAAGCCGAGTCATTGCATGGTCCTTTTCGTCGGAATGTTTCATCCTTGTCAAATGCAAAGACATGGTCGTCATCTTCATCCTCGGTGGCACTCATGCTCTCCCTGGGTGTCCGTCCCGCGGGCATCCTTTACAGTGTCTCCGTCTCCAGTGATATATTGTTAAAAACTGCTCTTTCACGACTATGGGCTCCAAACCCAATTCCCCGAGAAAACAAAGAATAATAAACAAAGGTAGGAAAATAAACCCAAAACAAAAGGCGAGAAAGACGTGGGGGGATGAAAGAGTACCAAAAGCATCGAGTCTAAAAAACAGAAGGAGTGGCCGTGGCAGAAGGAAGGTCTAGACGGAAAGGAAAAACGTGGTTTGGTTTTTGGGCGGGGTGACATGTCACATGACTTTAGAGTTCTTTCGGACGGAATTTGACTTTAGGATTTTGAAGTTTTCAAACATGTCCATCAGCAGGCATTCATTACGGTTAACGACACATGCAGGGGGCTCGTCCTTTGGTCTTTGGCGACCGTTGGCGAGACCTTTTGCTACTCTCGCTCCTGGTACGACAAATTCCATCACATAGTGCTCTTTTCGTATACTGATCAGAATGATCTACCTCCCAGAATTTCACCACCTCCTTCACAATGCTCCTGCCACGAAAGCTCCTCCGACTGCACTGAGATCGATATGGGACGGACTACTATCTGCTGTATTGAGTCCTGATGATGTCGCGAACGAGTATCGCAAAAAGTATGCGGACAAGCTCAAGAAAGCGGTTCAGAGGTGTGGGGTTTGAATTGACTACCCAGAACCTTGAAACATTTTCTGACCGAGACTCAAGCGAAGGGGCTAAATCGGTAGACGAACTTATCCAGCGAAAGCGCTCTGCACCTCCTCCAGAACCGTCCAATGAGAATAAGGATGACAAGCCAGATGAAACGAAGACGGGCAAATCGGTCAAGGGGCTAGCTCCTCGCGCTGATGGATTACCCTCGCATGTCAAGGTATAATGGCCTTGGATACGTGACCGTCTTAGCATGTAGCTGATCGACTTGGATTCATATCGTCAGAGCTTGGAAAAGATTGTGGATGTGGAGCGCCTCAAGCAAGAGTCGTCAGACCAGATTGCCAACATTTGGAACGAGTATCACTCGTCAAGACAATGCTTGAGTGGTGCTATGCCGTCAAGCTTCTACCAGAGCCTGCTTGACCAAGCCAAGAAGTTCCCGATGGTATGATTGGCGCTATCATTTGTAGATCATTTGAATTGAGCAGCTCATCCATGTCTATTCAGTTCCTTTTACCCCTTCCACGTAACGAAGGTTACGAGTTCTTTCTTCTTCAGTTTTCCGGTCATCAAATCTACTTTACACCTCTATTAGGTATGCTTTACCGTTTTGGCCTGTGGAGCCGCATGGGCACTAAAGGGACCGACACTTTAGAATACAAGACGCACCGAGAAAATGCTCGACCCCATCTCGTCCTGACACACTACGTCGAGCTCGCAGATGAGAAAGACATTGTCCTCATGGTTGGTGAGCTTGGCGATCCCGATCGCAAAATCCTCACTTTGCAGGAAGCGCAAAACTTGGTATACCAGATGCAAATCTTTTATGTGACGGGATCTCAAGCCAAGAAGGATTTGGTGGAGACGTTCCATAAGAATCCAGCCGGATTTGATTATCAGTCGCTGATTTCAGCAGTCGAGACTCTCTCATAGGCATTTTCATAGGCACGTTCACTGGCATTTGTAGATTAATGCAATTTCTTTATTCATCTTCACGTATGCGGAATCAACACATTCCATTATATGCGAACTCTGTCAGACAATGTGCCTCTGGTCCTTTCTGTTCAAGTTGATGCTTCACATGCACCCAGGCATGTATTCGACGGCGTATATTAGATATTTACGAACGCCCAGTACCCATCATTTGTACAAACCACCTAGACTATTACTACACTAGGAAACACTATATTACGCCAGCTATACTGCTAACAGTGTCCACATCATTCGCATCTTGGTGACAATTGTCCATAATATTAGCGTTCTCACTAGGGTCACTGCTGCCAACAGCACGCATCACTCCCTTATATACAAAATCTCTCGCCCACTGCTCCACATCCTTTCTGCCGCTCATTGGCCGATCCTGTCGCAACACGGCGGGAGAGGACGCTCGCCGTCTTGTAACCTTGTTATGATGCATCACATGCGGTCTTCTCATCAATGTCTTTAAAAATGCTGTCCAGCGGACAAAGACTTGCTCTGGTACGGCCAACCTCCATTCCAGTGTTTCGCAGATCATTGTTCGGGTTTTCGCAATTTTTATTCGTGACAACCCGCTTGCTTGTTCGTATTGGGCCAATGTTAGCGGCGAGTCATTGAGGAACGAATCGGCAAGTGATAGAGCCGACGTGAAGAGGAACAACGGGGTCAGCGATGACCCGTTGCTAGAGTGTTTTGGCTGTGCGTATGCGAATGCAGAGAGGTATTGAAGCGACAGGAAGAGGCATGTTGGTGTCGGTCGGGTGTGAGAGAGTACATGATG